CTTGCTCAGCTCACCAGGGACCCTTCTCCATGTCCCGAAGGCTCATTCTCCAGGGTTACTTCTGGCCAACCATGGCCAGGGATTGTGCTGACCTTGCCCGGAGGTGCACCGCATGTCAACATTTCCAGAAAGCTCCCGGCAGGCCAGCGGTCAACTATGCCCCCATCAGCACCTCTGTCCCCTTTTCTCGATGGGGGATAGACCTTGTGGGCCCTCTTCCGAGGGGGACCTCCAACAACAGATACATCATCGTGGCCGTCGACTACTTTACCAAGTGGGTAGAGGCTGAACCCCTCGCCAGCATCACAGAGGCGAAGTGCCGTCACTTCGTCCTCAAGAACATCCTCACAAGGTTTGGCGTCCCCCAGCAGATCATCTCCGACAATGGGACACAATTTGAGGCAGCCCCCTTCTGTGCCCTTCTGGAGGCATGGGGGCATCAAACACACCTTCTCCTCCGTTGCCTACCCTCAAGGCAACGGGCAAGTAGAGAATGCCAACCGGACCTTGCTCGAAGGCCTCAAAAAGAAGCTAGAGGTCGAGGGCGGTGGCTGGGTGGAAGAACTCCACAACATCCTTTGGGCCTATCGCACCACCCCTCGGCGAGCAACAGGTGAAACACCCTTCTCCCGCTGCTACGGTTTTGAAGCCAAAGCTCCTACGGAAGTCACCCTTCCCACCCGAAGGGTGATCCAATATGACCCCGAGGTCAACGACAGCAACATGGCCCTCGACCTCCACCTCATTTCAGAACGCCGGGAGCAGGCCTTCATCTGGGCAGAAAACTACCGAAGGCAAGTTAAAAGCTACATCGACGCCAAAGTTCGCACCCGAGAATTTCAAGTGGGGGACTATGTCCTCCGGAGGAGGGAAGCAAGCCAACCAACCGAGGGAGGAAAAATGGTACCAAAATTCGAAGGCCCCTACATCATAGCAGCCATCATCAAACCCGGGACCTACAAGCTCAAACGCCCCAATGGGAAAGAAGTCCCTAGGCACTGGAATGTACACCATTTAGTTAAATTTTATCAATAATGTAAGAGCGGCCAAGCCCTCATAACTAGTGAATGTACTAGCCTATGGCCCAAGGCCTCCAATTTCGAAGAATGAAGATACATTCAAGACATCAAGCCCTCATACTGACTACAGGCCCCAGGCCTCACCACGAGAAGAACCCCCTCCGGCACCAAGTGCCGAGGGTGGACACCATCAACACCTACAACAAACAGTGAAAACACCACGTGTTTTCAGTCAAGACCCCTCGGTACCAAGTACCGAGGGAGGGAACTCCTATCACCAACAACAAGGAACGCCATGTGTTTCATTTCCCTTCGGCACCCAGTGCCGAGGGTACCTTCCCACCTTCATCATCAAAAAAGAAAAGATGAGAACACCAAGTGTTCCTACAGAAGACCCTTCGGCACCCAGTGCCGAGGGTACAGTCCCACCTTCAACATAAAAAAAAAAGATGAGAACACCAAGTGTTCCTACAGAAGACCCTTCGGCACCCAGTGCCGAGGGTACACCTCCATCATCAAACATCGAAACGAAGGAAAAAACACCAAAATGTTTTAAAGAAGACCCCTTGGCACCCAGTGCCAGGGATATGCTCTCCTATCAACTGCCAAACATCTGTTGGGAAACACCAAGTGTTTCATTTGAAGACCCTTCGGTACCAAGTACCGAGGGTAGACGCCTACATCAACTACGACAAAAGAGAACACCAAGTGTTCCTACAGAAGACCCCTCGGTACCAAGTACCGGGGGCTACACATCGAAACTAACACCAAGTGTTGTTTCTAAAAGCCGTACCCCACGAGGACGCATATACCGAAGGCGCCACCATCGGTACCGGCGGCACGTAGTGCCCCCGGCCATTTGCAACTAGTGTGCAAATGAAAACCCTTCCTTGAAACGCTTTCCGCGTCATTACCCCCAGGGTATGACAGGCATGAGAAATGCCCAGGATTCGACTTTCAAAAACGGAACGCTATCCGCGTCATCACCCCAAGGGTGTGACAGGCACGAGAAATGCCCAGGATTCGACTTCCAAACCGAAACGCTCCCCGCGCCACCACCCCAAGGGTGTGGCAGGCCACGGACTATGTCTGGCGCCGAGGGGACGACTTTCAAAAATGAGGCGCTTTCCGCGCCATCCCCCAAGGGGAGGCAGGTTACGGACCACCATATCTTGTGCCCAGGAAACGACCCTCGATCCCCTCGGAACTCGGAAGGTTAACCCGAGGGAGGAGAGCCATTGGTGTATTCTGATAGTCTCCTAATAGGCCCAGCCTTACCAAGAAACCAAGTTTCTTGATGCCTTCCCTTCACCACCAACAAAAAAAAGGGGGGGGGGGGGGGGTGAAGGGGAGTAGACTCAGCGAGAAATCAAAGAGTACATTCCAACAGATCACAACAAGCCGAGGGCTCCCCACGGGAACACCTCCGGTAACTGAAGGCTCCTATTTCCCGAAGGATACTACTCGAACAAATAGCAGCAAGGAACGGCTAAGTCCACTGCCTGGTCACCTCCGATCACACAAACACCGAAGGCTTCAACAATACAAAGGGACTGGACTATCCAAAGTACACTAAGACGGTATGCCGAGGGCCCCTACCCCATTACAAGGGACACAACTGGCTGAGTCAGACTCTACAACTCTTCAGAGTGTATGCCGAGGGCACACACTCCTCATTGGCTTTCTTCACAACAACAGGATTCAACATCAATTTACGCAAAGTAATGTAGAGTCAGAGGGCACCTATCACCCGAAAGCTACACAAGGAAGCAGCACTTGAGAAAATTCTAAGTCCTAAAGATTGGGCCCCCGGCCCAATCAGCATTACAGCCAAGGGAATATGGTAGCCGAAGGTCATGCAATACAACAACACTTGAAAAAATATATTCTGTCCTAAATGAGCAGCCCCCGGGCATCTGGCAAATTGATGTGGAGTCAGAGGGCACCTATCACCCGAAGGCTCCCAAGGGAAAATCTACACTTAGAATATTTTCTAAGTCCTACATATTTTCCCCCCGGTCAACTACTCATACATCAAGGAGGGATGCCATCTCCCGAAGGCTCCCAAGGGAAACTCTACACTTAGAAGATTTTCTAAGTCCTACATATTTCACCCTCATCTCAAGGGACCTAATTGCCGAAGGCTGCCTATCAATCGAAGGCTACGGTACACAAGGAATCAACACTCAAGGAAATTTCCTAAGTCCTAAAGAATTGGCCCCCGGCCTACTCAATATTTCAGTTGAGGCTCCACAGTAGCCGAAGGCTACGTGACATACTACACTTGCAAAAAAAAATTCTAAGTCCCAATTCGTGCTGAACCCTCGGTTGCCTATCCAGCAGGGGGTGCCCAACTACCGAAGGCTTCCAAGGGCAGGCTACAATCAGAAAAAATTCTAAGTCCTAAAACATACGTTCAAAGGAGAAGGCATACACTAAAAAAGGAGAAGGCATACATTCAAAACACAGGACGCATTCAAAGGTGAAAAGCCCGGAGGCAGCATGCATTCATCAAAAACAGGAGTGAGTGTAAAATTACAAACAGGCCGAAGCCGAAGGATAAATGTTGTTCATTACAAAATATGTTCACACATTCCTAAGTACAAAATTACTCAACAATTTCGACGGCATTCCCGGAGGCGTCCTCTACTGCAGGCTTGGACACGGCATCATCACCAATCTCCTCCTCTTCGTCACTGCCCTCGGCCATCAGCAGGGAGTCTTCCAAGTCAGGCCTCGCAACACCTTCAGGGAGGGGAACCCTGGGGTCTGGCTGAAGGGGAGGAAGGCCATAGGATGCCGGATCAAAGGCCTTCGGGTCCACCCCAAAATGCCGGGACAGCCTTCGATATACGAGGGCCTGAGTAAAGTACTCACTCTCGTCGTAATATTCCTTCCCCTTTCGGGCCAACCACATGGCGCCTGGGCCTTTCACCCATTCGTCCACCGTAGGGGTGGGCAAGAATACCGGAAAATCGGTATACCGCACTTACCGTACCGAAAAATACCGGAAAATACCGGAATATTGGTATATCGTCATTTTCGGTACGGTATGATACCGTACCGATATATTTCGGTACGATAACGGTAAATGTTTTCAAATACCGCAGTATACCGGTATAATACCGTACCGACTCCCACCCAGCGATTACTATAAATTCTAAAATATTTTAAAAATCCATTACAAGTTTGAAGCCCAAAATTAATACTTATGTTGGTTACAAATACTAAAATACAAAAATAAAGGCCCGATTTCCCAAACCCACTATAACCTTCTAGGCTTCTACTACGCAACATTCAAACAAACAAACCCTAATGACTAATGTCTGGACCAGTTCATCTTGTTCCATAAGCTTGAGAGTCGCGATGACTGAGCCGCTGAGTAGCTGACGAGTGAAGAGGGATACACTTATGTGACGAGTGTATTGACATAGAGATTCCGCAAGTCGAGGCACATAACTTTGTCCGAAAGTCTTATTCAAATATTTTATTTAAAATTATAAAAAAGACTAAATACACAATATCATATTATGGATAAATGATTTTATATCCACGTTGTTTGAATAATTTTATTTATTTTTGTTAGTGATCACTATTCATTTAATTATATCTATATTGCTCAAGTTATTTAAATATGCTGAACTGCTTAAATATACTAATAATAATAATTGTTCAATATTGAATATGATATCAATAGATTATTAATTGTATTTTGTAACATTTTAATAATGGATTAAATATGTCGTTAGTACACCGATTTACTATATTTTGTTAAGTCTATGATAATTTTTTGAATTGGGGGACATGCATGGTAATTTACCGATACCGTACCGTTACCGAACCGAAACTTCGGTATACCGAAATGCGGTATACCGAAACTTCGGTAAGGTAACGGTATATAAATTTTGTATACCGAAAGTTTCGGTACGGTAAAGGTATGAGAGAAAATATTTGGTATACCGTACCGAACCACCCCTAGTCCACCGAAGCTTCCACCACCGAAGCCACCCATTTTTGCCGACCTTCGGCTTTCCATCCCTCCTCGGCAAAAGTAGCAACAGCCTCCTCCCGGGCTTCGGCGACAGCTTTGATCCGGGCCTCCTCGGCATCCTCCGCGGCTTTCTTGGCAGCATCTGCCGCAGCCTTCTCCGCCTCTGCTTTACCTTCGGCCCTGGCCACCGTCTTGGAGCCCTCGAGGATGTCTTTGAAAGCCTCTTGCTCAGCTTTGCGAGCGTCCTCGACCTCCTTGAGCTGCCTTCGGGCCTCGGCCAGTGCTTCAGCGGCCTTCTTCTTCTCTGAGTCATGCTGTTCTATCCTCTGGACCAGCTCGCCAAGGCCAAGGCTCGCCTGAAAGCAGACATGAATTACCGGAGGGTTAGCCACTACTCATGTAAAGAATGAAGTTATCTACAAAAGAGGGGGAAGGAAACTTACCGTAACCGAGGCCATCAGAACCTTGGAGCAGAGGACATCGTCGGCCTGACGGGAGAGCACGGACTTATCGGTCGGAGGGGTGGCACCCCTCAAAAACTCCTTCGGGTTCAGGGTCCCGTGCATGATAGCAGTCCCCTTCGTAATGGAAAATTGGACTTTGTCCAGGGGCCATGTCAGATCAGTTGCCTGACCCGAAGGCTTGGGAGGAGAAGATTCTTCTACGACCACAACGGGGGCTTCCTTCGACTCCGGGCCCCCCTTCTTCTTCTTCTTCCCCTCCGGTTGTGCCGGGTCCTTCCCATGCCTTTTTCTCTTCAGCTCCAGACCGGGGGAGCCCCCGACGGCGGCCTCCGATACAGGCCCCGCCTCCTTGGCCTCTTCGGCCGATCCCACCTTGGGGAAGATCTCATCGACCGCCCTCTGCTGTGCGGGGGCCTCCTTCTTCTGCTCCTCTCGGGCAAGTTGCCGCTTCAGCTTGACCAGGTTCCGAGCGTCCATGTCTGGTCCTGAAACACAAGAAGGCACACAAGGGTTAGTTCACTATTACAGCAAAGCAAAAAATATGAAGGGGGAAGAAAATTTTTTAAGCATGAGAAATAAAGCCTTCGGCATTACAACAACCTTCAGCACTCTCATATACGCGGTCAATCAGGGGGTAGCCTTCCTCCTTCTCCCCCATCACCCGGTATCGACGGAAGCCGAGCTTGTACAACTCACTGGAGAGCGTTGCGCCTTTGATGGACACATGTTTATCGGAACCCTCCGGCTTCTTGGACAACACCCGCCCATTCTTTTCGAGGGCATACCCTTCTGCCTTCGGGTGCCGCCGAAACCTGTCACCAAGCGGAGCGGAGAAGGGGTTCTCGGCCAACCGGATATAGCAAAACTTGTCTTTCCACCCCTTGTGAGACGAAGGCGCCTCATCAAAGATCCTGAACTTCGGGAGTTGCTGCAGATTACCATAGCCCCCGGCGTTCGAATGCCCCCCCCGGCATAAGTTGAATGACAGGAAGAATTGCTCCAGAGTAGGGGGGACCCTTTGGCTTAGGCACAGTGACAGGAACCCTGCCAGATATGAGTGACTGTTCAGAGTCAACTGGCAGGGGGCTAGCTTTACAAAACGGAGGTACTCCAACACAAAAGGATGAAGGGGAAACCTGAGACCCAGCTCCACCGAAAGCAGATGCACGGCAAAGCAGCCGTCGGGGGCACGAAGGAGCACGTCATCCGGCTTTGGCTCTACCACTTGCGCCGAAGGCCCTACCAAAAATTGCACCGCCATCATTTCCCCTCGGGTAGCTTTATTCTTGACCTCCAAGGCGGCCGTATTCAGGAAAGAATAGCCCTCGGGGAGTCCCAGTGGCTGGCCAGCGTCGACGGCAGCTTGCTTCTTCTTCGGAGCCACCCTCGCCTTCTTTCTCTTCTGTCCTGGGGCCACACTGAGGGGTACAGCGTATATAGGCCGGGAGCTCCCAGCTTCAGTACCACACCGAGGGGGAGGGATAGCTACAATCACCTTCAGGCCCTCCTTCTGGGCCTCGTCCTCGGCCACTTGACAGGCGATGGCAAGCTCCTCATCCTCGTTAACCTGCTCGAAGTCTTCGGCCTCGAGCTCAAGTTGAAGGTCACTCTGTACCACCTCGGCTACGGCCCTATCATCAATGGCCGAGAGCTGCTCGCTCGAGGATTCCACGTCAGACGGCACTTCAACGTTCACTGAAGCCTCCCCAGAGATGTCTTGGGAATCACTAGCTGACGACATCTTTCTAAAAGGCGAGGGGTCGGGAAACTCGTACGAAGGGGGGGTTCCTGAAGGGTCCTAAAGACTAACCCTAAGGCCAAAAGAAATACTCAAATGGAGCTAAGGGCGGAAGGAAAACTGACCTCTGAAAGCTGAGTTTTTGACCGAAAGCTTGAGTTTCTCTCTCTAGATTTTTTTGCAGAGCTTCGCTACAGATGTGAATGCGTAAAGGAGGAATGACCCTGGCTTGGGGTATTTATAGGCTCCCAGATCCGGGCTTGGGCCGAGATCCGGGCTCCCAGCAGCCAAAGCCATCATTACGCACCGTCGTTTCACCCAACCGGTGACGCCGCCCACGAACAGCCAGCCATCACACGCCACGTGTGCCACCCCCCCAACGGCTATATCCTGTCGTTACATATTCCAACGGCTATATTTCCAACGGCTATATTCTGGAAGCCCCCGGGTTTTCTACTTCACTCCACTTCATCAAGGATAGCCTCCGGGTACACTCACTCAGAAGTGCCCCCGGGTTGTGCCCCACACAGCACATAACAAGACGCCTTCGGGATCACTCCTTCAGAAACCCAGGGCTTCATCTCAGGGCACCCCTCGGGGATTCCCCCTCAGCACTGCAAAACCGGGTAGCCCCCGGGGAGTTGCCTCATTGACGGATGACCCATGGCACACAGGTAATGCGAGCCCTCGGGTATCTTCATCACCAACTAATCAACAAACAGTGGACCCCCCGGTAACAACTCCATTGCCGCCCTCATCCAGCAGGCCCTCGATCCCCGGATTGAGGGGCTCCCCTTCGGCATCCCCAGGATATCAACGGCAAGCCTTCGGCTAATCAATACATGAGCCCTCAGAAAAAGAAGAGCCTTCGGCATTACCGTTATTCTCCATTTTTGACCAAGGTTTGACATTTTCGATTCATCATTGGGGGAATTCGGTGCACTCTTTTTCCCTCATTAGGATTTTTTCCCCCAGGGTTTTCCCTAATGAGGTTTTTAACGAGGCATCCCCCCAAAATGAAACGAAAAACGTCAGCCTTCGGCCCACAACAGCAACACAACTACTCTACTCCTTTTCACAACTTTACAAGTGCCTCAAGGAGTGGGGGACTGGAGGACCCCCTCGGGAAAATCATTAAATTACAAAATTAGTGAAATTCCAACAAACGACAAGGCAAGCCCTCAAGTCCCGACATGTGGGTAACTGAGGGACTGCCTTCGGCAGGGACATAAAAGCAACAACTCCTCACCAACTTCAGAGATCACGACGGGACAACATCAAAGGGCAAGCACAAATTACTCCTTTTCCCTCAAGTACCTTTCGGCAAAAGGAGTGAGGGACTCCTGATGGAGTATATGGACCGGGAACCCCCGGCCCACAGACTCCTACTACTCCAGCGAAGGCCCAACAGGCCCAAATCACAGCGCCCAGAGTACCAAGCAGCCCGCACTACGCGCCAGGGGTGCCTTCGGCCCCCTGGCCGAAGGGTCTGAACTCTCACAGAACGGGTTTCTCAAGCAAACTAAGAAACTGGGAGAAAACGGCGAAAATAGTAGCCCTCGGTACTGTGAGCCCTCGGCACCAAGGTGCCCTCGGTTGGAGGAGCCTTCAGCTGGCTTTCTATGGACTCCAGAATGCCAGGAGGCTTTCGACGAGCTCAAGCGGTATCTATCTTCACCCCCTGTGCTCTCAAAACCAAAGGTAGGGGAGACCCTCTACCTTTACCTTGGGGTCAGCCCGGCGGCCATCAGCTCTGTGCTCATCCGGAAGGAGGACGACATCCAACATGCCATCTTTTACGTTAGCAAGACCCTAAGGGAGGCCGAGCTCAGGTACTCCCCTGTGGAAAAAACGGTGTTAGCCATCGTTTGGACTGTCAAGAAGTTGGGCCACTACTTTCAGGCTCACCCGGTTCAGGTCCTCACCCATCAACCCCTCGGCGCCCTCATGAGGAGCCCCGCCAGCTCCTCCCGTATGGCGAAATGGGCTATCTTCTTGAGCCAGTACAACATTGACATCCGTCTGAGGCCTTCCATCAAGGGCCAAGCCCTGGCGGACTTTGTGACGGAATGTACCGCAAGGGCAGCCACGGACGGGGAGCCCTCGGCTGCCTCGGATGATTGGTGGACCCTCTACACTGACGGCTCCTCCGCGACCAAAGCATGCGGGGGAGGGGTAGTCCTCATTACTCCCGAGGGCTTCAGGGCCTACTATGCAATCCGCTTCTCCTTCAAGGTCTCCAACAATGAGGTTGAATATGAGGCCCTCCTATGTGGCCTTCGGCTGGCTGCTAACATGAGGGCTCGGCAGATCCACATCAAATGCGACTCCAAGTTGGTCGTTGGCCAAATCTCCGAGGAATATGAGGCCAAGGAGGGGAGAATGAAACAGTACAAGGAAGCGGCCAAGGAGTTGCTTAAGGTATTTGAGGCACACTCTCTCACTCAAATACCGAGGGCTCAGAACTCCGAGGCCGACATATTATCTAAGCTCTCGGCCGACTCCCCCGAGCACATCTCCAAAATTGCCAAAATCGAGGAACTCAGCCTCTCAAGCATCCATGCAAGCCCCGTTATGAACATACAACAACATCAAGAGGATTGGATCTCAGATATCACCACCTTCATCTCCACAGGGCAGCTACCCGAGAATGAGGCCCGCGCTAAACTGGCGAAGTTAAGGGCTCCTAGCTACACCATCGAAGATGGAAGGCTCTACAAACGATCTTACAATGGCACGCTACTTCGGTGCCTTCATCCAGATGAAGCCGAGGTCGCAATGGAGGAAGTGCACAATGGCACTTGCTCAGCTCACCAGGGACCCTTCTCCATGTCCTGAAGGCTCATTCTCCAGGGCTACTTCTGGCCAACCATGGCCAGGGATTGTGCTGACCTTGCCCGGAGGTGCACCGCATGTCAACATTTCCAGAAAGCTCCCGGCAGGCCAGCGGTCAACTATGCCCCCATCAGCACCTCTGTCCCCTTTTCTCGATGGGGGATAGACCTTGTGGGCCCTCTGCCGAGGGGGACCTCCAACAACAGATACATCATCGTGGCCGTCGACTACTTTACCAAGTGGGTAGAGGTTGAACCCCTCGCCAGCATCACAGAGGCGAAGTGCCGTCACTTCGTCCTCAAGAACATCCTCACAAGGTTTGGCGTCCCCCAGCAGATCATCTCCGACAATGGGACACAATTTGAGGCAGCCCCCTTCTGTGCCCTTCTGGAGGCATGGGGCATCAAACACATCTTCTCCTCCGTTGCCTACCCTCAAGGCAACGGGCAAGTAGAGAATGCCAACCGGACCTTGCTCGAAGGCCTCAAAAAGAAGCTAGAGGCCGAGGGCGGTGGCTGGGTGGAAGAACTCCACAACATCCTTTGGGCCTATCGCACCACCCCTCGACGAGCAACAGGTGAAACACCATTCTCCCGCTGCTACGGTTTTGAAGCCAAAGCTCCTACGGAAGTCACCCTTCCCACCCGAAGGGTGATCCA